AAATTTCAAGCGTCTAACTTAAGCGGTTTAGATTTTTATACAAAAGGATTATCCCGCTAATTCCCGTTTAAGTAGGAATTTCGGGAATTCCTTGTTGTAACTAAGCTTTTAGTTTACTAAGGTACCAACATGCCAAATTTAAGCGTCTAGCTTAAGCGGTTTAGATTTTTCATACAAAAGGATATTCTCGCTTATTCCCGTTCCCTTGGAAATTTCGGTAATGCCTTTCTTAGTGCACCTCTACGGTATTTAAGCTACGTCCCTTCCAAATTTCAAGTGCCTACGTTTAGCCGTTTAGGCTGTGCGTTGATCTGTCACTAAGTCAGTCAGTTTCTCCTTTTATATTTTAGATTCTTTTTTAACTACAATGCCGTTTATATAAATTACATTGATGTTTTTTAATATTTTAGTTCTTTATTGTTTCTTTGAGTAATATTTGATTTTAATATTGATTTGATTTTAAAGGTGGAAGAAAAAACATAAGAAACTATTAATAGCAGGGTTACTAGCCAATGGATGGCTAATAATGGCTATTAATAGATAATAATCAGTTATTATCCAAACTAGCTGGCTACAAACCCATCTCTACCCGTAACCCACAATTGAGTGGGCCGGGGGCCGTCGAGGCATTTGCCCGGACCACGATGCAGGGGACATCTTTAAAAACCCCCACAGGTGGGGGCTGGCGGAGCGTTTGCCCGGGCCCATTCTTTGGAGAGCCGCTCTCGGTACTTCTCTGATCAGCAGAGCTGACCGAGCAGCGGCATAGAGCAGACCGTAACCCGCTACGGCGGGCCGGGGGTCCTGTTTTACCAGGGCCGCGAGGAGAAAACCTCTATAATAATAATAATAAATAATATAATAATAAAATAAATGTTTATTTTCTCTTCACAAAGGTAACAAAGAATAATGGGCACTACAATATTGTGAATGTTACAATAACAGAACCTTTGCGAGAGACTGGTGTCTAAACTAGGGTAATCCCTGTGTGATAGATCACCAGGCCCTCAACTTGCTCCTTGAACTTAACAATCTGACCAAATAAACACGCGCAAAGTGCGAAGAGAGATCACAAGTACTTGCACATCACTATGTACATAAAAATACGTGATACTGTTAGTAATATTAAGTGCGTTATGTGAGTGTGTGAGTTTTGTGTGTCAGGCATGTGTAGTATGAATGAGCCCTCATAGCAAAACCTTCAACAAATCCTCAGCCTCACCATAGTCCAAATTCAACAGCCACTCAAGTATCAGTTTTTTGCATGCTCTCTCTATAAAAAACAACTGGAGGAGGGGATTGGGGGTTCCCTCGAAGCCAGAGGGGCTTGCTCGTGAGCGAGCCTCTAGCCTGAGGCGGAGCTGCGGACGAATGTCCAACCAGGACAATAACTCGCGGCTCCGTTTCTTTGGGCTCTGGTGGAAACCGTCGGGTTTTAGTGGGTAGGCCCCGCCTTTAGTGGGTAGGCGGGGAGAGTCCCACATAACACACTGGCCGTCCCCATAGACCAGTGGGTATGCGCAAAGCATTTCCCGACGAAATAAAAAAAAGGTTTCTGAATTGAGATTTTTTTTCGGCTTGAGCGTGCTTATTTTCTAATCAAGTTTAAGAACTTCATATTAAATTCATCCTTGACAAGAACTCAATGCATAAACCGGTCCTTAAAAATGGCCTTAATCTCCATTCCTTTCTTATCATCTCTTTATTATTGTCATCATCGGTACATAAAATCATAGAATAAATAATACTACTTACTAACAAATATACGTAGATTATGAACTGATATGCTCGAGTTGACCACGGTGCAATTCAAACAATCTTTGAATTGCATTAAATTATTCCTTCATTCAAAACTTATTCAATCAACGCAACAAATTATGCACTCTTCGCTTGACGTCGCTTCCACAGTACACAATAACGCAGTAGATTTCATTCGAATTTATGTAGTTATTATTATTATCGGATAAAATAAAGACTAATAATGTAAAATGTGAACGCCTGAACGTTTTGAGCGAGCAAATATTAACAAAAGCAAGATTTTGCTTAAAAACTGACAGCAGACATTCTCTGTTCTTTCAATAAATATTATACACCTTAGTTACTTTTTTATTTATGGGAATTACGATTATTTAAGCTTTATAATTCCATTTTTTTTTATGCATAACAAGGCAGGTATTTGACCACAATCGCACCTGATGTTAAGTGGGATGCAGTCTAGGATGGTACATAATTACCTATCTAATATATTACAAACATTTGTACTGAAAGCTTTTCTCTCTTAACACTGTCTAGACTGGATTAGGGACGCCTGATGCAAATTGTCTTTTTAATTATGTTAGATTACCAATAGATAGTTAATTTTCAATTTAAGCTTTATAATTCCATTAAAAACATTTGTACAGAAAGCTTTTCTCTCTTAACACTGGCCAGACTGGATGAGGGACGCCTGATGCAAATTGTCTTTTTAATGAGGATCATTTCGATTTTTAGCTGTGAATGCAGATTTATAGGGCTAAGAAATCTTTAATACACAGTGCAAAAATTGTTGTTCTACGACAAAAATTGACGAAGTTATGGCCAAATTACTAAAAAAGTTCACTGACCGCCCGGCGCGGGGACGATGACGTCATTATATCCGATCCGAACGCTGCCGGCGTACTGCGTGGATAGAAAATATTTTTTTCTAGCCAAATTATCAGTTTTAGAGAAAAACTTGTAATGACATTTATTCATCAGAATAAAGTAAGCTATCGATAGGTAATTTTTAAAAATGGAAATTGTGAAAAATAACGCAAAAAATCCATACGCTCATACGATTCAATGGCACGCAGAGACGCGATTGGGGTCTCCGCGGTGGTATATTTGGCGATTTATTCAAATAAAGTGTACATAAGTGTTGTCTGCTTTGTGCGGCAATGTCAATATTTATATCACCAACCAATATTGCGTTTTTAAAGCGAGAGAATTGAGTAAGTGAGATACTTAATGAATCTATGAATTTGGTGGGGTTTTTATATCCAGGTGGTCTATAAACAGCCACTATCACTGTCTCTTCATTAATTTTCAAGGCGATACTATTACAATCTGATATTTCCAACTCTTCCCATGTAGTATTTAATTGGTTTTTAAAATAAATTACCACACCTTCGTTTTGAGTAGAGTTAGCAAGAGTCTTGCAAAACTACTTTATCTTTTGCGCTTATAATTTATGGTTTGAGTTTTGAAAGACAATGTTTTTAATATTAGTTTGATTTCACATCTTGTGGTTTCCGATTTTCTTACTTGCTTTCCATGTCTTTTCTTCATATGTTCTTACTACTGCCACAGCTACTGCGTGTAAGTGTAGTGAAATGAAATCAGAGTAAATGATTTATTCAGTACATAGTACCTACTTTTCAGGGCTCTTATGCACGTCCCAAATAAAGCTAGCCTTACCACCACTTCGGGACAATATGAGCTGGTACTGAGAAGAAGAGAAAAGTTTTCTTGTTTGTTAAACAGCTAGTACCTATTGTTGTCAACTACTCCAGACCTTTGGTTGATAGGATTAGTGTGGCCTCACTACAGTAGTCCAGTAAACATAATTTAGCGTTATGCCCGGACTCCCGGCAGGTAATTTGCGGCGAAAAGTGGCAATATGTAGGCGACAGCGGCGATGTAGGGACTAAGCCTTCTTGTAGCCTCTGTGTTGATGCGATGATATTACTGTGTACTTGTAAGTTCTGGCTTAATGAAACACAGTGCATTCAAGTGAAATGTCCTTTTACCATAACTTGTTTTATTTAGAATATTGCACAAATCACGTACCTACTAAGGGTAGACTTTATGTTAAAAATGTTCTCCGCCAGTCCACGTTAGGGTTATTAGGAAAGATGTGAGTGCTTTGCAGGCTAAATATAAAATGTCTCAGACCTTATAGGCTCTATTTTAAGCATTTTATGTATTTTTATCACACTGAAATTGTTTTGAAACTTGACTTGAAAGCTCAATGCTAATAAAATAAAGAATTTATAGGAAAATAGTGTGGTTGTAAAAAAAATGAATCTTTTTAAGCTTAAAATGAGTTTCAAAGTGACGATAAAAGACTGCGCAATTACTTTTACGTTAAAATTTAGGTAAGTGCTTTGACCATTTTCTCACGATATTATAATATTCATCCGAGTCCCGCCATCTTCAAGGTGAAGATTCATCTCTTCGTAAGAGTGAATTTTTATAAACTCATTTATTCTAGTCATTCCACTTTCTCAAAGACGGGAATTGAAAAAGTTTCCCAAATTTAATTCGACTTTGAAACAATGCGAGCGTTTTGGCTTCTGATGTGTTTTGTTTATTTACTTTGAACTTCGCCTTTGTCTCGGTCGGTAATTAGTTGGATATTATTTCTGCAATGTTGTTTTTGATTCAAATTTTGACACAATTTCAGGTTAAGAGGCTTACCTATGTTTTTGTTTTTTCCTCAATTACCAATTCAAAGAAGAACAATTTGGCGACACGTGTTCGAGTTGCCCCATTCTACTCTTATCAAAGGAAGTGTAATATTTTAAACACAACGATATTCAATGTATTATTGCATTAAGTGCTTTCTACTCATAGTAGTAAAGCGTGGTTAATTTATTTAATTAACCAAGTAATGTCACAATTTAAGCCATTAGGTATCTGCTATATGCTGTAAAATTTGTAGGTATGTCCACTGAGTTATTTTTACAATCCGGTCGAGTAAACTGCGCACCTCGCTGGAATGCGACTCTCCCTCGCACTCACCCGCACATCTCCCCACGTTAGCGCTCCTGCACACGACGCCGCCACCGCGCCACCGCCGCGCCGTCGCCGCGCCGCTAAACTGTTCATACGCGCCGCGTGAAGCCTGCTGCCGCGCCGCCGCCGCGCCGCTGGCGAAATTATGCAGTGTAGCGGCGCGGCGAGGGCGCGGCGGCAGCGCGGTGGCGGCGTCGTGTGCAGGAGCCCTTAGCCCCGTTCGTACCAGAGCGTCGATGTGACGTCACGGCTGCCAGGTGCGCATTAACTCGTCCAGGTGTAGCTATCCCATTTTCCTTGTGCAGTGCACAGCTGAAGACTACTACTACGACCCGGTCAACGTGACCCGGAGCACCATATCCGGGATCGCAGCATACCGCTCCGTGCTGACGCTGGACTGGCTGGCTGCGGAGGATTCTCGCCAGAGGGAGCTGGCGGCGGCCTTCGAGACAGAAGCAGCTCCGCCCTCGAGGGTCCTGACCACGGAGTGCATAGCGTACGCCAGGCCCTCTACCGGGAAAGTTGCGAGACTAATGCTGGAATTGCTGAAGTATGTAAGAAAGGAGAGTTTATTTTTATGTTATAGTTGACATATTAGACCAAATGTTTGTTGTTGCAAAATCGCATATACTTACTACTCCCATGTAACGTGCCACCAGTGCTGGCTATGTGATGTGCTATCATCTGCTGTACAGTGAAATATGAGTTCTTATCGTAAATCGGTGAATACATATATCCCGAATCAGAATCAATGACATATTTTTTTGATGAGACTGGTCTTAGACATTTTCTTGCTTGTTTTTTGCGCTTACTAAACTGCATTAGTCACGCATTGCTATGAAGTATTAGCTACCCACTTTTCTTTTTCATAAATTATTAGGTAGGTACTCTCTGCTGAGTGCCAATATACAGTTCATTTGATAAGTTTCAGAATTTTAATTTCATAATTTCACAAGAAACCATTGAAATCTGCAGAAACCTTGAAGGAGACGACGCGAAATTAGTCCCCGAGTTGGTCCAAGTACTGATGAAGGCTAAACTCCTGGTGGAGACTTCTATCCTGGACGCGGAGCCGGATTTAGAGGCGTTGGTGAAGACGCCTGGAGTGATGATGGGCGAGCCCCACGTTACCTTCCCCAGGATCCTGGCCATGCTGTGGATGATCGTAACTGACCCTAGCACCACTAAGAAGTTGGGATGGTGTCCTATCAATAGGGTAGAAGTACTTAAATTTTGCCAACTGACATGAAGCTGCGTCCACACAGGGTGCATGGGCTCGCAGGGCACACTCTGCAATATACAATGTAGAGTCTACATCCTGCTCACCCTACTCTTGAGTGTGCAGGATATCGAACGTGCCTAACCGATCACGAGCCCATGCACCCGGTGTGGACGAGGATTTATGACAGTAAGGTTGTGGAATGTTGTGACAGTTTTTAAAGAGTTCTTATATAGTCATTAGCAGATCAGACTTTACATTTAAGAAGGGTCTTTTGCCGAACTCGTATTTTTTCTGATTTTTGTAGTCCTATATTAACTTGGTCATCATGGCTGGCTATCAAGGAGTTGCAGCGGTGGGAACGAGAAGGAAAGTGAGTATAGTCCAGTGATATGCCATATACATATAATTTAAAGTATAACTATTTCCAGGTAAATAAATACATAGCGGTGAGCAAGTCGACGCAAATAGCGAAGCAGATGCGCGCTCTAGACCCAATAGTTGCGCGAGCGCGCTTCATCATGGAGGAGTTCATACAGAACGTCACTCCTCTGAACATGTACCAGAAGTCGACTACAGAGATTAAGGTGATTTAAAAATAGAAATAAAAAAAACTTTATTGACACAGTATAGTTGCAGGACAATAATATGTAGTAGTACGAGTAGGTTACATTATGCCAACAGGCCTTTTTCACTATTTATTTAACGTGACATACTCGTAAGGGGCATGTCAAGAAGAAGCTGGTCTTCCGCGGACCCCTTTGTTGTTGGCGTTGCGTATCCTTTCGAGGAGTGATTTTTTTTTATTTTGTGTCCAACTTATGATTCGAACCCTAGACCACTATAAACAACATTGACTCAAACTTTTTCTTTATCATATTAGGTACCTTTTACTACTTGATTGATAAGGCTACTTTAATCCTATACAGCCATCGCCGATGCCGTATTCAAGGACTTTGAAGACCATAAAGAGACCCATCAGATACTATTCAACTGTGAGTATATTAAAAAAATAATTACATTAAATCACTACTTCGATGCTGTATCGCGCCTTGATTTCTTTCGTCACGGACTTACAGATTAATCTGGCATTTTCCTACAATAATCGGCCTGAAATTTCAACTGGAATTTAATTCCCAGTGTGATTTTTCATTAAGATTTTCACACCTGAAAGGGAAAAATGCGGGAGTGATTCATATGCCGGAACCACACAGTGCGGCTGATTCGTACATTCGTTCGTTTCAGCCAAATGACTTTCATTGTTGGACAAAGGCCTCCCTCAAGGATTGCCACAACGACCGGTCCTGCACTACCCGTATCCAGGTCCACCTAGTGGCAAGCCTGTCTACACTATGTCTTTAGGCCCGTGGTCGCAGTTCGAGAACTTTTCTGCCCCAACATCCATCAGCTCTACGAGCTATTTGCCTGGGTGATATTATAATAAAATGTTGTTTTCGCAGCATAACCTCCTTCCCCTGGAGCAAGCCATGTCCAGCAGCAGCCAGGAGCCAGAGCTGGAACCGTTCCCCCGACTGATCGACGGCACCCGGGTGGTCGCTGCAACATCTGGTGCCGTGATTGTGAAAAATATAATGTTGATCCCCATTTTTCTTTGTTTGTATTAAAAAATATTTGGTTGAATATGTGTTTTTTTAGTACGTTAGTTTGCAAAATAGCTCCTATTAACAATTAACTACGTACAACCTACTATTATTCTTGCACTATTTTGAACCAAACCTTTTTATTTAAAACACGCAGATTTAAAAAAAGTTAATATGACATTTAAATTGATCTATGCCACACTGTCAACATTGGCGTGTACGTCAAAATAAAAATGTGCGGGCTAATCAGTTTAGTTTTAATTTAGTAATTTCCATGTTTTACAATTAGAATCAAAATAACATGAGTTGGTTTGAAGCTCGGAGATGGGATCTAAAGTTGTATGTCCTGTGTTGTTGTGGCTAGTTCTTGTGGTAAGCGTTATACTTGTATTCTTCATTTATTGCACACTATTCTCTATTCATAAAACCTCCACTGGGCAGACTGTAACTTTATCATCATTTCAGCCATAGGACGTCCACTGCTGAACATAGGCCTCCCCCAATGCTTTCCATGTTGATCGATTGGTATAACTTATCTATATCTTAGCTGAAAGAAAAATTCCTTTAAATTAAAAGCTTTCGCAGCCAAAAGCATAGTTTAAACTGTTAAAAACAGTGTAAGCCCGACTTCACCAAAAACTGTTTTATCGCTCTCCATCACAGTGATATTATAGGCAGAAAATGTAGTGATAAAGTATTTTATTACATAATGCCAAATCTGCTGTATTAATAAAGTGCATCTTACTCTAACACCAACAATAAACCAATACAAAAGGTGGCAAATGAAGGCCCTGGATGCAGGCCGCTACCAGCCGGTCATTATGGAAATCATTGGAGAAGGCCTATGTTCAGCAGGGACGTCCTATGGCTGAAATGATGATGATGATGAAATGAATGACTATTTTTAGAAGAGACTAACTTGATCTTCATCCATCAGTCGCCAGTGTCTCCGGATTTCAACCTGGACTCGGAGTTCGCGACCAGCGAGGAGAAGTGGCTGTACCGGCACAAGAAGCAGGATGCCCTGGACGCGGCCTGCGCCGGCATCAAACCCTCGGCTAGAGACATCGTCAGGAGGTTCTACGCGATACTCCCTTAGTAAGTACTTTCTTTTGACTAGACATAGCGAGGGCATGCTCGGCATGAGAGGCGTGCTATGAAGAGGGCATACTCGGTGTTTCTTTACGATAAAAAATGAGGATCTATTAAAGTACCAAAGTCGCTGAAATAGGCCGACGGATTAGCAAGCTAAAGTGGCAATGGTCAGGGCATATAGCACATAGAATTGATGGCCGATGGGGCAGCAAAGTTCTGGAGTGGAGGCCATGTACCGGCAAGCGCAGCGTATGACGTCCAGCGGCCAAACTGTAGATCCTGGGTATAAAATACAGTTTTAAAACCGAGAGGTAGAATTAGTTCCAAGCTGGTCATGTGGTTTGAGATTAAAGGCTTGTTTTTTACTTAAAATAAACCGTCTTTAGAAGCACTGGATATAACTCAACAGGATCGATGCGCTATGTGCTAATTGAATTTGAGATAATCACACCCATCTGGAATCAAACCTAAAACCTTAAGAGTCAAATGAGTACTCTATCCATTGTAATACTGAGGCAACTTATATTATTTTTATACGACATACTGGCCGTCAAGTTCGCCGAGCATAATAATGTGCGCTTTGTGCGTGTGCATCAATTTAAAATAACATTTTGTTTCATCTATGTTTTGTTTATGTTGATAGGAATAATATTCATGTTGATGTTCAATTACGGTGGTCACCGGCTAGTTATTAAGCCTTGTTGCGAATAATTTACAGTTTCGTTATTTTGGACTGACACACTGATCCGATGTAAATGCGCCATTCTTGGTTATTATTCATGATCGTGAAGCTTGTAAATTGCCAATTTGGCTAGTCCATGAAGTTTTGTTTATGATTTTAATGAGATTTTTTTTGTGATTTTTTTCGCCGATTTTCACAAATCAACTAACAGCTGTGACAGTATTTTACATGTAGAGAAGTTTTTTTATTAAAAATAATGAAACAAATACCAGAATAATATATGATGAAATGATAGCAATAAGTATTGTAATTTGAAATTCAGGACATAAAATGGAAAACTGTAAATCGTAATACCTACCCAAGTAGCAATTGGTATTAATNAATTTTCTACAACAGTACTGATCCTCATTATGATTAGATTACCAATAAGTAGATAGTTAATTACTAATTTACTAATTTTACTGGGTCTCGTTCGGTACTGTAGAGTGACTGCGGATATTAAGCGGCTGTGGGTATTGCTTGTATGGCAAAAGTTCCGCGACGATTCACTTCAATGCACTGTAGTCTTAGAGCTGGTGTAATAAATATTTTAGGCAGTTCTCTTTTTACTTTTTGTTCTGATATAAACACAGGAATCAGGATAAAGTCACCGCTTTTGGTTCACAATTGATTTCAATTCGATTGAATATTTTTATTGAGATTTTTACATGTGACTTGATTGATTATTTTGTTTGTTTCAGGTAAGCACATACGACAGTAATCAGTCTGAACACTGTACCTTCTTCCATCCACAAGGTGGACTGATGACCTCTTAAAGGTAGCAGGAAGGCGCTGGATGCAGGCCGCTACCAACCGGGCGATATGGAAATCATTGGGGGAGACCTATGTTGAGCAGTGGACATCCTGTGGCTGAAATGAAAAAAATAATGTATTCTGGTATGCACTGTACTATGACGCATAAACACCTAACCCAATACGGTTAAAATCCCAACCTATTATTCTAGTAACTTATTCAACCCTAGCTCTAGGACTATCGTTGACTGTCACTTGATGAAAGGGCGAACAAATCAGTCCGTTTGTTTGTAAGCTCTGCGGCTGTGGGCGAAGTTCACGAGGTTTGAATTGCCTCGTATTTGTGGGTAGAATCTTGATTAAGGCTAACACTAGGAATAGGTTGTTAGATTTAGGTACACTTGAAGTTCACCTGCCTGCATTAATTAAGTTGTTGCGATTACTTAGAGACTCATGTAGGAGGCTCACAAGATGTGGATTGCTTGGGGATCAAGTAGACGCCAATCATAAGTCAGTCTTATGATTGGCTTTCAAATAAAACCAAACAATGACAAAATAGTGGAGTTATACTATTATTTACATTTTAATGCAAATGAAACGAATACACAATGGTGGGCTTAATGCTAAGAAGGATTAAATACTAGTCAATTATTGATCAAACAGAGAGAGGAATAGAGAGAGACAGATTAACATGATAATTTCAGAAAGTAAAGCAGTTTCTCTTTCTAAAAAAAGTTTTATTTATTTGGTAAGTAAGTAAATTAAAAATGCAGCGTTTGTAACGCTCGTCTGCATAAATCAACATTGTTTTTCTTCGTCTATTTTTCCATGAAATTGCAGTCCGTAATATTCTGATACGCCATTAGTTTTGAGTAGTGCCACAGAATAATACTTAATGGTAGTGCTTACATTATAATGCTTCAAATTATTATTAATGAGGTTCGTTCGTTCGTTCGTTTCAGCCAAATGACGTCCACTGCTGGACAAAGGCCTCCCCCAAGGTTTTCCACAATGAACGGTCCTGCGCTGCCCGCATCCAGGCTCTTCCCGCGACCTTTACCAGATCGTCGGTCCACCTAGTAGGAGGCCTGCCCACTGTTAAGTAATGAGGTAAATAAACATAATCATGTTTACGAAAGTCTTTGTAAACATAAATATTTGTTTATTATTATCTAATGATATTCACCTTATTTGTTTGGAATCTGTTTTAGTGATTTGAAAACTTATTTTTTTAGATAACCTGAAAAATCGAACTACCTAAGGCGGGAATCGAACCCACGACCTTTCCTGAAAAATCGAACTACCTAAGGCGGGAATCGAACCCACGACCTTTCGCTTGTCGGGCGACTGCTCTTCTATCTCTTAGCTCTTAGACAAATATTGAAAACTATTGTCTATCTATAATGAAATGTAATTAGACTGACATAATTTATTTAAGAAAATGTAACTTTTATGTAAACTTATGTCCGTTAACTTTTTTTGCACAACCTATATTTATCATAACTCAAAATGTATATCAAAACCTAACTTGGACATCAAAACTTTTAGGTCAAAAGCTATTTCTATGTCAAAACCTAACGTTATTATCCAATCCTAACTATTCTGTCAAAACTATAAACTTTTTTTTTATGCTAGACAAGGCAGGTATTTGACCGCAATCACACCTGGTGTTAAGTGAGTCAAAGTCAAAACCTAACTCTAATGTTAATTTGTTAAAACCTAACTCTAAGGTCAACAAAACCTAACTTTCAATAAAGTTTGTTAATACAAACCTGACTGTTATGTCAATACCTAACTTTAATGTCAAAAGTAATGTGTAAAATTTTAGATAGAGAGACTTTAGTCAGCGTCAGCGTTTTTAAAAACGCCCGTCTGCGTCGCCCGCTCCAGTTATTCTTCGTCCATTTTCTCATAAATACCTCGTAATAGCAATGTTGGGCATCACGACACTATACACTATTCCCTATTTATTAGTGGGAACAGAGCATGGTCACAAAGTAGATGGGAGCAGAAGACAATCTTCGTACAAACGTATTCCACTTTGAGCACCCGCCCTAATAGCACCTACACAAATAGCACCTGGCCTATTCCACTTAGAGCACCTATCAATATTTTGGACAGGTGCTCTAAGAGGAATTAAACTCTGTAAACGTCCTGTCTATCAAATACATTAGCAGCCAGCACTAGGTTGCTATGTTGTGAGTAAGTGGAATAAGTACATCGTAAAAATAAATTTCAAACTTAGAGCACCTGCCCAAAATATCGATAGGTGCTCTAAGTGGAATAGGCCAGGTGCTATTTGTAGACATAGACAACGCTCATGAACATGANCATAGTTCTTAAAGCAATAAAACCAGCAATAAAAACATTGATATTTTAAGTGCTTTTTATTTTTTGAAAGTATTCGAATAATATTCGAATATCACTGAAAATTTTTTCGAATATTCGAAATAGAAAACAATTGAATATT